ACCTCCTGGCAAATAGAAGGGAAAGATATGGAGGCAGTGACAGATTTTACTTTCTTGGGCTCCATGATCACTGCACATGGTGATAGCAGCCACGAAAAGATGCCTGTTCCTTGAGAGGAAAGCGTTGATATACCGAGACAGCATCTTAAAAAGCGGAGACATCACCTTGTCAACAAAGGTCCGCATAGTGAAAGCTATGGTTTTTCCAGTAGTGATGTATGGAAATGAGAGCTGGACCATAAAGAAGGCTGAAAGCTGAAGAATTGATGCTTTTGAACTGTGGTGCTGCAGTCCTTCTCCAACCATTGCCATTTCAGTGCTAAATGTTTCTATAAAGTGTGTGTCTGTAATTTTGGAAATTTGTAAAAGTTAATCTTTCCCTCTGCCCCTGCATGATTAGTCAATGGACTGTAACAATAAACTGATCAACTGAATCTATATTTCATACACAAGAAATCTATCACTCCAAGAAGGGAAAAGCTTTTAAAAATAAAAATCACAAAAAGTACAGTCAGAAAAAGTTACTTCAGCCATATTTTAGAAAGTAAAGTATATGTTTCATAGATTTGAGTGATTATTACTTGGAGACACATCAATGGAAACAATATGAGGGTCTCTCACTCATGCCATTGTCCCAGCATGAAAAATCATGAGTTTTACACCATGGTGGCACTTTCTCCTCCTCGTTTTCTGTAGTGACATCACGATCTCCTAATCTTGTCTAACAAACGGTTTGTTATTAAACGTTCCCAGTCTTTCGGTTTCCTATGCTACTCTAGCACTAAGTGTTGATAATTTGTTATTATCACTTTGCCCACAGAGAACAATTTTATCAACACTGCATGTTAGAATGCAGAGAGTAACATATTTATCATCCTGCTGAGATGGAAAGTGTTGTCTCCAAAAAAAGTACTTATATATTTAAAAATAAATTTTCAGGCTTTTTTGCCTTTCAGAAAGCAATTCCGAAGGGTCTTTTGCTGCTTCCATTTCAGTGGGAAACAAAATCTGGAGAGCAATTTTATGATTTTTACACAAAAACTGTGGACTTTGCATATGGCTTTGAATTACACTGATCAACTTGATACCAGTGTCACTTTTGAAAAAGGTTCCTTATAAGGAAACCTTTGATACGTCTCTAGTGACTTCCTATGATTTCAAATGTCTTCTTTTAAATCTCAGAACATTTCTGGTTTCTTTCCCTCCTGCCAGTTTCAGTCACTGTCAATATTCGAGAGAGATTTGCTCAATTAAAAACCTCAAATCCCATCCAAAATACTTTTTAAAAATTTACTTATGTTGAAGAACATGAACTAATAAATAGGATTTATTGAAATCTCTTTTGTTTTCTTGGACACCGGTGAATATAAATAATATGATTCTGGTTATTGTAAAAAATAATTCCCTCAGCACTTCTGATATGAGAGATCCTCTTATTAGATCAGTGTAAGATGTCTTTAAAAAAATAACAAATCATTTAAAATAATCAAGTAAGTACAGCATGCTTTTTTGGTGGCAAACGGGGTTTTCAGTAAACATTGGATTTTTAGCCATGGAGACATAACTTCTTCACACAAGAGAAGAGTTTTTCTGCAAAATACATTTTCCCATATTCTTTTCATAATTCCATGATGTGAAAAATGTACTGTATATGAAATATTCTAATTCTTCAAGTGGGTAGAAAAGCTTCATTTCATTTTGATATTAGAAAAAACAAAGGCAAAGATTTACACACTTATATCAGACATCTGATATCAGTCCAGAGGGTTTCCACATGCTGAGGACTTTCCCGCATGCTTTTCTGTTGCGGTTATACAATAATTATAGTTTCTTTTTATGTCACCTCTAGCCATACAATAGAAACAATGAATACAGAGGATAAAAAAAATTCTTACTTCTGAGCAATGGTCATAAAAAGAACCTAGAATGATTTATTGCCTCATCACAAGCTGTATGCTAAAATCAGTCTTAGCAAGCAAGGTGTGTATGCCTGTTTTTTAGATGGGTCTACATTCAGTTTCATGACAGACAAAAAACCATCCATCTTTACGGGTTTCTCTTCCTCGAATCATGCCACCAACATCTCTCAAAGACTCTAAGAGGAGATACAAAAGTATGTGTTTGTCAAGTATTTCTTGGGGTTCACTGAACAAAGCAGGGTTACCACCACCCTCCAAGGTCCTTTCAGAGAAGAAAAACAAGACAACAGCTTCTTCTTTAAAGCTTATATTACATATGTACAATCTTCACAAAATACCCCAACAGCATGTCCTCTACCAAATCCCCAAGTTCTCCACACCACATGTGTGTTCCTATATACAACATATAGTATATGTAACCAATCAGGTAACATAACCTCATCTCAGGTGACTTCATATGAATTACATCAGCCTTTGCCTAGTCAGCATGACTCAGCATTATACACAGCTCTACAATATAGGTGGTTAACAGCTTCATTTATACATTCAGTCTAAGATGTAATTTTTTTCTGTTACAATCCTTGTAATTTCCTGACTGTTCAAAGCCTAGAAATGTCTGGTAGGATAAGTCTAAACAACCTTTAAACCCAGCTCTAATTTATTCAGTGTCATAGTCTTGATGTGTTTTTGAGTTACTGAGTCATTTCTTTCAAATTCAATAAATGGCTAGACCATCTTGTTGACACAGTTTAAGTGAAGTTAACCAACGCGTCGATACAAATGTCATAAAAAAATTAAAAAATTAAGAACAGTTTAAAAGGAGATTCACAGTGACAGTAGTTCAATAATGTTGTGATAAGAGTGTTCACACAAAGACACACAGCAATATGATGCTTTTTGAAAAGATATTCAACAACAACAACAAAAGTAGAAGCCTCTGCCTAAGCAAGAAATGATCCACAGTTAGTATTCTTGCTGGGTAAATGATTCAGTAATGGCCGTGCATCATGCGACCACAAGTTTATCAAAGAAACTCAATGAGAAAAGTAAGGCAATATTTGTCTCATGTGACCACAGACTAAGCCGTCATTTTCTTAGCAAAATTGATATTTTTTTCTATGAATCCAGATGTTAACTATTTAACTTGTTTGCCAAAAAAGGACTCTCACAAAAGGCTTTCCATTTTTGTATGTTTTTCTTCCAGGCTGTCTTCCTCATCCTTAAAAACTGTCTGTAAGGCAACCTTTAGGCAGACTCTGAGCAGACATTTCTTTTGTCTCCCACCAATGAAGAAATAAATCAGTGGGTTTACGCTACTATTCAGAGAGGAACATGCCAAGCCCAGCACCAGTAATTTGGCTTGAGGAGCGCTAAAAGAATGAACTATATATGTCATGTTCAGAGGCAAGCTCAAGATAAGGAAGGCGAAGAGCGCAAGCAAAATAACAGTCATGAGTTTTCCTTGCTGGCGTTGTTTTGTTCTACTGCAGAAGCGGCCGCAGAGGGTGAGCGTGGAGATCAACATGAGTGGAGTGCAAAGAAAAACGTTCACGATGAGCTGATAGATTAGTGAGGAACCACCTAGGCTCCCTGTCTGGAGGAGAGTAAAGTGAACGGCTGAGAGCAGGAAGGAGATGATCCATATTAGGGCACAAACAAGGGCAGACAAAGCCGGTGGCCGGTGGCACCGATGCCAAAGTGGGAAAAGAACAGCCACGCATCTGTCAATGCTGATGACTGCCAACAGGAACTGGCTGGCAGAATATGTGAAGAAAAACAGTTCAAAACATATTAGAAATAAATGAGAGAAACTATCCATTGTCCTGTAGTGGCCGATTCCAATTGTGAATGTAGCCGTGCTAAGTAGACAGAGGAGAACAGCAAAGTCAGCTATGGAGAGATTGAGGATATAGGTGGTGAAGGGATTCCTTTTTATGTGGAAGCCAAGGAGCCAGATGACCACCCCGTTGCCCACAAGCCCTCCGAGACAGACGATAAAAATGAAGCTGTTGATAATATTTTGCGATAAGTTGTCAAAATCATT